TTATATTATATTATATTATATTATATTATATTATATTATATTATATTACAAACACTCTGTGGAAAATATCAGAAATAATAATGGAAGCCCAGATTTTATATGTCCATATATGAAACAAGTCTGATAAATGAAACCAGTTTGAGACAGTGATGGAAGCTGTCACTTGGAATCCACTTCAAGCACATTAAAAGCATCACCCAAGAAGCATAAATCATTTAAAAACCAAAGTGACTGTAATTATTCTATAACTTGTTCTCACTATATTTTGATTTATCAACCAAAGTCCAAAATGATTCCAAAAAACAGACAGACTTTCTTTCTAATTCTTGAAATTGGGACTGGTACATCAGTCTCAAGACTAATTAATCTGGCTGCCCCATTAAGTCCTGCTGGTGAAAGAGCAGCTTGTGGTTGTACAGAATTTTGTGGTCAGAGAATGAACATGGGAGTGTGGAGTGGTGTCAGTGGTTATTGCCATGACCTAACATTTGTTAAGTAATTATTTTACAGGCATTGTGTTAAGCACTTTGTTTACATTATGTCATCTTAATATAAGCACAAACCTATTAGTTAGTTCTACCATTATGCCCTTTTTTTTTGATGAAGAAATTGAGTATGAGATGGTGTGTCACTAGCCCAAATATCCAGAGCTAGTCTTTTGGCACTAGATTGGAAGTTTTAAATTAGTTTAGGTACTGGTAAGACTCAAACAGGTTTCTACTTTTTTGTACATTAGCCTTTATCTAATATCTGATCTGTTTGAGGTGATAGATTGAGTAAAAAAAAAAAAAAAAGAAACCAAGGCACAGAAAGATAATATGATGTGTTATAAATAAATAAATGTAAATAATATGATGTGTTATAAATCAATAAATCCTAAATCTTTAAGAGAAATGCAAATTTAGGGAAATGTCACTCCTTTTAAAAAGGGATACAGGATTCTTATGTACTATTGAGCTTGAGACACAACGAGTATATATGCATATGCATGCATTTTTTAATTATCTTCATTAAATGAGAGAGGCCTTAAGTTAGAAGTTTGTTTTCCCTGTTTTTACAAAAGGTCTCAGGCCTTACAAAGGATGTATAAAGCACAATACTTTAGAATTAATTAATTAATAGCATCAGAAGGGAACAGTAATTTTATCCTATCAGCAAGTGTATGGTGACTTTTTCTAACCAGCATGTTCACATCCCAGTATGCTGTTAGTGAAATTATCTTTTCAACTTGAATTATATATCGCTTTGCTTTAACACATCATGTAGCTCACAGATGATTCAAACAGTGGGATTTTTATAAAGCATAATAGTAAGGTAATTTTAAAAAATTCCAGTTGCTTTTAGTATTTGCATGGAAGAAAAAGACTTTTATTACCAGAATCTTTAGAGACATCCTGTATGCTTAACTGTGACTTTATGGAATTCTAGTTGTCTGTGTCCTAAATGTATACAGCAAAGCCTCCTTTTATAATGTGCACAGAAAATAATGGAACTGTATTATTTTCTCTCTTATGCTCTGTTTTCTACTAAACTAGAGAAGAAATGAAATCTCTTCAGGAGGCCCTGCAAAATCAACTTAAAGAGACATCAGAGAAAGCAGAAAAACACCAGGCTACTGTAAGTGTGTTTTTACTTTGTGCCCTTTGCTTTAGGGCTGGGCGATTGTTACTTTCTTTTTCCAAAATCACTATGGAGCAAACACACCTATAAAAATAAAAGTGAAAATACAATAAAAGAAGCATCAGTCAATGTTATCAGAATAGTACTTGGTCAGCATTCATTTCTGGAAAAGGTTAATGTTTTATTTCATTATTAGGGGATCATCTCATTCCCAGCCTACTTTTAAGAATGAGAAACTGAAGGACAGAATGGGGTAAGGGTTCTGGTGTCAGGGCCTCATCAGTGGCTCTCAGATCGTGGGTTGTCACTGACTGGGAAGTAAATTAAGCTAACTGATGGTTAAGTCGCACCCTACATCCACTGAATAAGGATCTCTCAAGAGCAGGGCCAAGGCATCTGCCTATTTAATCCATCCCATGGGTTATTCTAATGCACCCCAAAATTGATGAATCAAACTCCTCTCATGACAGCGAGAACTGTGAGAAATAAACTGTGAAACAAACTTTCTCACCCGAAATGATGTTCCCTTGACCCCACCGTTTCAGCTCTTACTATGAATATTTACTATAGGCAGGAGGGATGGTGTTCCTGAGCGCCGTGTTGAAAACTAGGTTTCTACTGTATTCCCCAAAGCCACTTTATGCATCATGTATAGGGATTGGACCTTATATCTTGTTTTCAGGATCTGAGTCTGTTTTAAAATATAGTGTGTTAATTGAACGTATGAGGTATGATAAAGTCAACAGATCAGGAAAAGACTACCACTGAAAACATAGCTTATTTCTTACAGTTCTAGCTGTACACCATAGAGGGGCCACACGAGGAGGCACCCAGGCTGTTCATGAGGCAGAGGGAAAGGAGGAAACTGTGGGTAAGAGGTTTATTGTGGTTTCTGGGGCAATGAACAAGTGAGGCAGGATAAGTGGGGTTGGGATGGATAAGTGGGCTTGAGATTGGCCACTTTGAGTGATTTTTGGCTGACTCTGGGGCATAGCAGCTGTCCTGACTTATAACCTATCCCTAAGGTGATTAGGGCAAATCCACAGTGGCCTGGGATAATAAAAGGGGGAAAATTGCTAGTGTTGTTTTTTGATTGGTTGTTGTATTTGAAAAGTGTGTGTCTAGGAGGAGGACTTCTCCCCTCTGAGACAGTGGAGCAGCAATGGGAGACTCCCAGAGCTAAGGCAGGGTGGCTCAAGCATATGATTGGATTGTTCTGAACAAGGCTGATCCAGCACATCCATGAAGAACAAATGGTAAAGCATCAAGTTTACAGATGCTAAAACCGTGGTAAAGCCTGAATCTCCATTTAGGTCAATTACCTGGAATCGTAGGCTCTCTAAACACAGTCAGCCTGCCTTTCTTTTACAAAAGTTCCTTTAACAACCTTGATTGAAATGTGGAGTTTTGCTTCTGAAACTCAGGCCAGTCTGTCATCTGTAACACCGGATTTCAGGAACAGCCTTTCTAATAATGATTGCTGACTTTTCAAAGTACAGAACTGTTTCATGTTAAGGATTCACTGTTATCTGTTCTGTTCACCTGTTAGGACGGGCATGTTGGTTCATTGTTATGCCATGGCAACTCTCACTGCTCACCTGAAATGTGGCCTAAAGTCTGGCTCACTGGATACCAAATGTTACATAAAAGAATAGACATATTTTTATCATCAGCTTGTTGATTCCTCCCCCCAACACCTGACCTAGCTTACTGAATGGTCCTAATTGCAATCACATATCTGTCGTGACTAATCATATTTAATCTGGGTTTCTTCATAGCCTAATGACAAACAATGGTAGAGAAGAATAGAAGTGCTCACACAGACTATTTTCTCTGGTTCTCATAATAAAACTACATTGTTTCTTTCTTTACTGAAAAATAGTAGCTCAAATAAGGTGTTTCTAGCTTGCATTTGCATAGCTATAAGGCAGAGGATCTAAGGCATGAACTCATAATTATTTCAGTAGATTATGCAAACTGTCTGAGATCCAAAAAGAAGAGAGTTATAACTTTTGAAAGAGCACAAACCAAAGTTAGAATATCTAAGTATGAAAAATGTCATGGGCAAATAATGTAGACTGAGTCACCTTTGCCTTCATCTCAGCATGCTGGCTGTGCGTTCCTTATGGCTGAAAATTGAATCTTGAGGGAAGGTTTCTGTTTTCCCCCAAAAGTCTTCACTAAACCAGAAACTTCCTAAAGAAACTCCTAACTTAGTATGTGCTTCAGAGTAGGAGTGTTTGGGGTTTACATTTCCAGTAGGCCATTTACTAGTTCTATAAATTTACTAGCTCATTACCAGACTTGATCAAGCTTTTGAACTTGTGCAAGTGTCCTCATTATCACATTTAAGGGATTATTCACATTAAATTAATGCACATAATCTCTCTAAAATTCTATCTGGCATGTAGCAGATAGTAGACATTAAACTAAAGTCATTCCCCTTCCTTCTGTGCTTCCCATTTTAATTTCGTCTTCATCGCTTAGCTGAGTGAATATAAGCAAGTCATTTGATTTATCTGAGGCTTTTTAATTTTAAAAAGTATGCCAGTGGTACTTATATGACAGGTTATTTGGTGATTATATGAGATGATGCATACACTATTGAGCAGAAGATATAATCAATTGTGAGCAACCTCTAAATTGTATGATATCATCATCATCATTATTAGTATTTTTTCTTTCTAACCATTTAAAACCTTTGTTATATGATAATATCATGGTAAGAATTATCAGAGATTACATAAGAATGCATACCTAGTAAAAGGAATATTAATCTATTCCATTGTTCATAATTTAAGATATTCTATTTCCTCACTCTGCTTACATTACTATTCAAAATAGTTTTGTTTTGCAATTTCTGGATACTGCCACATGGATTTTCAATGGCTATTCTTAAAAGCTGGCATGGAAATGTTTGATAGTGACCTCAGGTTCCCAGAGACTTACAAATGATGTCTTTATGGGAATCAGACATATTACCTGTGTATCAGTGATCAGGGGCAACACAGTGATATTTTTCTATTATTAAAAACTACTAGATGGTGAGGTGTCTCACCAATGGCTTGCATTTTCTTAATTGCAGACTATTTCTTTTTTATTCACTGTTCTTGTTAATTACTTTTTTTTTTCCATAGGTCATTAGGGTACAGATGGTATTTGGTTAAATGAGCAAATTCTTTAGTGGTGATTTGTGAGATTTTGGTGCACCATCACCCGAGAAGTATACGCTGCACCCTATTTGTAGTCTTTTATCCCTTGCCCCCAACTCACCCTTTCCCCCAAGTCCCCAAAGTCCATTGTATCATTCTTATGCCTTTGCGTCCTCATAGCTTAGCTCCCACATACCAGTGAGAACATACAATGTTTGGTTTTCCATTCCTGAGTTACTTCACTTAGAATAATAGTCTGCAATCTCATCCAGGTCAATGGAAATGCTGTTAATTCATTCCTTTTTATGGATGAGTAGTATTCCATTATATACATATATATATTCATATATATATATGAATTAACTATATATATCTCTCTCTCACCATTTTTTTATCCACTTGTTGATTGATGGGCATTTGGGTTGGTTCCACAATTTTGCAATTGTGAATTATGCACTATAAACATGAGTGTACAAGTATCTTTTTCATATAATGACTTATTTTCTTCTGGGTACATATCCAGTAGTGAGATTGATGGATCAAATGATAGTTCTACTTTTATTTATTTAAGGAATCACCACATTCTTTTCTACAGTGGCTGTACTAGCCTACATTCCGACCAACAGTGTAGAAGTGTTCCCTGATCACTGCGTTTATGCCAACATCTACTGTTTATTGATTTTTTTTTATTATGGCCATTCTTGCAGGAGTAAGGTGGTATCATATTTTGATTTTGATTTACATTTCCCTGACTATTAATGCTATTGAGTGTTTTTTCATATGTTTGTTTGCAATTTGTATATCTTCTTTTGAGAATTGTCTATTCATGTTCTTAGCCCACTTTTTGATGGGATTTTTTTTAACTGATTTGTTTGAGTTTGTTGTACATTCTGGATATTAGTCCTTTGTCAGATGTACAGATTATGAAGATTTTCTTCCAATCTGTGAGTTGTCTGTTTACTCTGCCGACTGTTTCTTTTGCTGTGCAAAAGCTCTTTAGTCTAATTAAGTCCCAACTATTTATCTTTGTTTTTATTGCATTTGCTTTTGGGTTCTTTGTCAAGAGAGCCTTGGCTAAGCCAATGTCAAGAAGAGTTTTTCCAATGTCATCCACTAGAATTTTTATAGTTTCAGGTCTTAGATTTAAGTCCTAATATATCTTCAGTAGATTTTTGTATAAGGTGAGAGATGAAGATGGTTTCATTATCCTATATGTGGCTAGCCAATTATTCCAGCACCATTTGTTGAAAAGTGTGTCCTTTCCCCACTTTATATTTTTGTTTGCTTTGCCAAAGATCAGTTGGCTGTAAGTATTTGGGTTTATTTCTGGGTTCACTATTATGTTCCATTGGTCTATATGCCTATTTTTATACCAGTGCCATGCTATTTTGGTGACTATAGCCTTATAGTTTGCAATCAGATAGTGTGATACCTCCAGATTTGTTCTCTTTGCTCAGTCTTGCTTTGGCTATGTAGGCTCTTTTTGGTTTCAATATAAATTTTAGAATTGTTTTTTCTAGTTCTGTGAAGAATGATGGTGGTATTTTGATGGGGATTGTGTTGAATTTGTAGATTGCTTTTGGCAGCATGGTTATTTTCACAATATTGCCTCTACCCATTCATGAACATGAGATGTGTTTCTGTTTGTGTCATATGTGATTTCTTTCAACAGTGTTGTGTAGTTTTTCTTGTAGAAGTCTTTTGCCTCCTTGGTTAGGTGTATTCCTAAGTGTGTTACTTTATTGCAGCTATTATAGAAGGGGTTGAATCCTTGATTTGATTCTTCACTTGGTCGCTGTTGGTGTATAGAAGAGCTACTAATTTGTGTACAGTAATCTTCTATCC